ATCCACAAATTGTTGTTCTGAGTCTGGGTGGTCTTTGTGTCCGCTTCATGTATGTTTGTAAAGTCCCCCGCGACAGAGGATATATTCTTACTGCAGTTGTCTTTTAAAAGGAAAAAAAGATGTTAAAATTGCGTAAAAAAGGTTACGTGAAACTACCATAAGGTGAGAAACAAAAAAACACGTAAAACGTATATGGTATGGGTATTTCGTTATACTTTGGTACACAACAGACAAAAGTATGTATTACTGTGAAACTTGAAAGTTTAAAAGTTAATAAAGCAATATATAAATAGATCTAGGAGACTTTCAGATGTATAAAGTTATAGGCTATTATTTTGACAGTATGGACACAGCCTAGATTAAAGTTAAATAACTAGGGGGCGGGTCCCTGCCGGTGACGCTGCTAATTTGAGGTCTAAAATTCACATAATATTATTTACACACCTCCTTTCCAAGGACAGGCCTATGACTATCAAATGCTATTGATGATGATGATTTACCTACACACCTAAATTAAATATCTCAATAAGAATGATTACTTTTTAAAACCTATATTTTTATAGTTATTGTTTTTATATAATATTTACTTTTTGAATTTTAATACATCTCTACAGACTTCAATGACTAAAATTTGCGTAGTAGGAGTGATTTTTTGTAAAGAAAATTTTATAAATTTGACTAAATGGGCCGAGAAACAGAATCAACTGCGCCTAATGATCCAAAAATAGCCATTTAAAATTCCTTACTTTTTCCTACAGAAAATACGGCCTCAATCTTTCGTAGGCTACTTACTTAGATCTGTGTTCTAAAGTATTTAGACAAACTGGCCCGGTTTTGGCTTAAATGGACACTCCATACCAGAATATTAATTTTAATTGTCACTGGTTGAAAGTTATACCATTATCATCATCCAATCCACTGCTGGACATAAGTCTCTCCTTAGAGTTAGTTATGGCCTACTATACAACGCCAGCTAGGTAGGTTCGTATAGGGTTTGTGTCAAGTGTTTCTTCTCTTTGCTCTGGTGTTGTCCTGCGTAGTTTGCTCGCTTAGTCGGCTCTTACGACACCCACGGGATGTATTGGGGTGTTGAAACTCCGTATTCTTAATCTGTCACCACATATATTAGTTAATTAATAACTTTTAAGTCCAAAGGTGGCTCTAAGTAATGCCTGGAATGGAGAATCATTTTCTCCATATCAACTTTCGGTAGTACAAGTGACGGTGAAATGCAGTTTTCCCATCTTCTATATTTCTTTTTATATGAAAAATCTCTAGTATCAATGGCAGTTACCTGACAGTTACCAGTTACCTGAATTGGGACCGGATTAGAGAGCTATTTACAGAGAATTAAAGCTCTTTTTAAAACTCTTTATCAGTGTATTTGTTTTTTTGTGGTGAAAATTACATAGGCCAGCACTAGGTTTCAACAAGTTTATGATTTCCAAATGAATGTCGTTTTTTTAGGTATAAGGGGTCAAACTGATCACATATTGGTAAGTCACTACCGCCGCCCAAGAACTCCTGCACCTCTAGAGACAAGGTCCGCAAGAGAGACAAGGTCCACGCAAGTCTCGAGTGTATTGCCGCCTTTGAGCCCCTCTCCCTAGACTCAGAGGGAGAAGAGGTTTAGGTTCTTTCGCTAATCGAGATAATAGGCTAATCGAGAGGAGGTTTGGGCTCTAGTAATCTCATTAACTCGGTGAAAAGTAACGAAAACTTTACTGTTAAGTAAATTTTTCGTTACTTTTCTCTTGTGTGATTGCTTAAAAGCTGTGAGGTTGTGGTTCCACTCCTGTCGAGCTGATCCATTTGTGACGAAGTATGGCTTTCCCACGGTAAAGTGTCCTTGTTTCTTTTTTTATGTAAGAGGGGGCATGCGAGCAGACGGGTCACCTGATGGAAAGCGACCATCGCCGCCTTTGAAGGCCTGCAGCGCGTTGCTGGCCCCTTGAGGAAGGAGTACGCTCTTTTCTTGAAGGTCGTATTGGTCCGGAAATACCGTAGACGATAATTTGTTCCACAGATTGGTTGTGTGAGTCAAACAGTGTCTTGAAAAGCGCATAGTGATCACTGTGCGCTTTGTGGTGGTGAGGATGAAAATTTCCATTTTTTTTTCTTGTTTTCCTTGTTACAAATTATCACCAACACGAACGTTAGTTCAGGGATATCAATGTGTAAATAAGATGTAAATCGAGACACGTGTAACGTATCTCTTAATTACTTGTGAAGACAAAATAAACATTCCACTAATACATAATGAGCACTCGAGGCGATGACAGCGACTTGAATATCTACAATACAGTTGTTACGGGGGGGGGGGTCTACTCGTCTGTCGATGACCCGAGGTATGTCGGGGCACCATTGACTTCCTTTCTAGGGTATACCTGGTTCGACGGCTATTAGTACCCGAGACGGCGTGCGGTTTTAGTCGGTTCGTGTCCGACATGCCACCGGTGGTATCCGAGGGGATTTACGCACGAAAAAAAAACAAAAAAAAAAAAAGGTAGATCAGTTACAAAGGTACATTCTTAATTTAGCGTATTTAGATAAAAAATATTTTCTAGAGTTCATGAATAAATGTATGGAAGTAATTTAATAACTTGAGACATCTCACTCACGGTCTTTTGATGTCAAACAAGGCATAGTCTACGCTTTTATTGCTAGTTTTTTAGAATAGATATTTGTAAAATATAACTAACATATTATAGATAAATTACACTCAGACACAGGACAAAATGTTCTGTTTCTTCAATTCGTTTATATGTGGATGTACGAGTATTATGTACGTATTTAGAAATATATAAGTATGTTTATCAGCAGTCTGGTTACCATAGATCAAGCTCTGCCTAGTAGGGGTCAGACTATCGTGTATGAAGTTAAAAAAAAGCCGGTCCGGTACGAGTTGAACTCGTGCGCTGAGGGTTCCGTACCTACCCAGATTTTACGAAAAATAAAAAAAAATGAAAATTCAGGTAAATTTTGGTACTTACAAGTTTTCGCGAAAATCTAAATTTGCCCATATCTTGTTATCGTGTTGACTCAGAACCTTGATTTTTATACACCTAATAGGGACCATAGACCTCAGTATCTGGTATAAAGTTCAACTCTACCCGTTCCTGAGAAAATCGGTGGTGACACACGGACAGACGCACAGACGGACAGACGGACAAAAAAGTGATCTTATAAGGGTTCTGTTTTTAGCTTTTGAGGTACGGAACCCTAAAAAACAATTGAACATATTCATCATACAACCATTTGATGGTAATCCTTGGACCTTGGTCTTAGTAGACAGGATCACTAAACACCAGTCTACTAGATCAGTCAAATTAATGAATGATTTAATTATATCTGGTCAAACTGAAAAATGCACTTCAATGGGACGATCCCGAAATTCCACCAATATTATGATACTTATGTCTGCAGTGCACTGCAGGACTGCAAGGATGGCGTAGTCGTTCATGCGGTCACCTGCCTGCTTCCTACTGCACCGAGTGTTGTGGGTACAATCCCAACATGGGGCAACACTTTGTGTGATCCAAAAATTGTTGATTTGAGTCTGGGTGTTCCTTGAATCTATTTTAATACTAATAATACTGTACCACATTCACACAACGCCATCTAGTCGCAAACTAAGCAGAGCTTGTGCTATGGCTACTAGACAACTGATATAAATACATATATACTTTTTTTGTAAATACATACATAGAAACACCCAGACCAAATCAAACATTAAATGTACATGCACACAAATGTTTGACTTGAGCGGGAATCGAACCCGCGACCTTTGAAATAGCAGTCCGTTACACAAACCACTACGCCATCCGGTCGTCAAAATGGTCGTCGTTTAAATGAATGTTTGTAAAGTCCCGCGCGACAGAGGAAAATATATAAAACTAGTGCGTGAGTTGTCTTTAAAAAAATCTAACCAAGGACCCGATACATGTACACAAAATACATCATATAGTTGTTCGATAAAGGACCCTTTTAGGCTCGTGGCTGTCCACAGATACACTATCTGTTAGAGACGTCTTTGTGCGATAAGTGTTACAGAGAGGTCAGAAATGTTGGTACCCACTTTAGAGACAAGTAAAATCCTTCTTTCGGGGTTGTTTTATACGGGATTTCGGGACTATAATATATAATAGCAAAAATTACAAATTATTTTAATGCCAATGGTCAAAAACACACTTATATATATTAATTTGGTTTGTTTCAGGCGGATGGGCGTCACCAAGCTCCCAAAATCCAGTCGTCTCGACCCTCTCCTGAACTCGCCGCAGGTAAGCACCTTCAAGTGCCTGAAGAAGTTCTTACATTTCAATACAACAACTAATTTATATCACATCACACATCAACAACCTTTAATAGACCACTGCTGGATATAGGCCTCTCCTCTGAAAGGAGGTTTTAGCCTACTATACCACGCTGGCCAGACGGGTTGGTATAGGGTTTGTTTCAAGTTTTCCTTCTCTTTGCTGTGCTGTTGTCTTGCGTAGTTTTCTCCCTTAGTCGACTTTTACGACACCCATGGGATGAATAGGGGTGGTGACATTACGTGTTCTGAATCCGGATACTTGACGGCAATACTTGGGGAAAAAATCGTTTTCAGACGGGAGAAAGGAAAAAACTTAATTGGGGAAGGCAAACTGCCTGAACGAGGTTCCTAGAGTAGGGGAGCTGCAGTTCTTAGATTTGATAGACCACTAAAGACATCGACTGCATGGATGGCGTAGTGGTTTGAGCGATCACCTCGCCGCTTCCTACTGCTCTAAGTGTTGTGGGTTCGATCCCTACATAAAACATCACTTTGTGTTATCCACAAATTGTTGTCCTGAGTCTGGGTGTTCTTTGTGTCCGTTTCATGTATGTTTGTAAAGTCCCCGCGATACAGGTTTATATACTTAGCGCGGGAGTTGTCTTTTGAGAAAAAGAAAAAGAGAAATTAATTGGGTCAATTACCTAGTAGTGGAAACGGGAATAGTAAAAAGTACTGTTAAATGAATGCTCTGCATGGTGTAGGTGCAGACGGCGCTATGACAGTGGCTCGCGATGAGGGCTCTCCAGAGCGGCTGGGGGGCGCGCTCCGCCGGCTGCATTACAAGGCGACCAGGCGCGCGCACTCCGCCGCCGCTCGCCACCACAACAACACTCCGCCCAAGGTCAGATTACTTTACTACTTACTAGACAAAAGAGAGATTGTTTCTATTGTGTGTGTGTTGATCTGTGACGTTAGAGTCTTTTCGATAAAAGACGATTTCAAACAATTTTAATTTATTTATGACCTAAGGATATTTTGAGTTTGAATTTTAGAACAAAAACTTCAAGGGTGCTAGCACTCGCTTTATGGAACAGTCGACAACAAATATAATTTATGGTACTACGTCAGTAATTTGCATTATAAAACTCTTTTTACCAATGATTTCACGTGTAATAATCATGTTTACATATGAATAGATTTGAGCTATAAATAACTTCTAAATCTTTTTCTTGACCATACTTTCCCAAGTCATAAATGTTTTTTTTGTTAGAGGTCCCAATATATAACTCTAAATTCATTATTTTATGTATATAACCAGGGGTTCTTGATCCAGAAAGCTTCACGACCCGTGAACCCAATCTAGTGTTGACGGTATCGCTAAAACGCCTGCGATGAATAGATGTGTGTTTTGTAGCTATACAATTTATTAGGCGCCAAAATGTTCCGTCTTATTTTAACACTATTTTTAATATAAAATTAAACAGATTATTACACGTGTTGCATAAATCGAAGGATTTTGATTTGATTACTTGGAAGATAACTGTGACACAGCTGAATCTTTTCTGGCAACCCATCCTCAAATCCACCAACGACTTTTGTCCATTCGATCGCCTTGAAGTAAGCTGTTACCATATACCTAATAATACCTACTATTCCCAGGAGCTAAGAATCTTCTCTTATTTTGAAGTCGTATTACACAAATAAAGTAATAGGTTCGCAACATGTATAAATGTGTTCAAGTGTGAATTGAACTTACACCCGACTGAACGTACCCATTGTGAGTGAGAGCGGCGTGTGGTAATGCGAAACTAATGGTTCGGCTGAACGCTTCGACAGATCGAGGGCTACAAGAAAAATATATGTGAGATAAATATTGATGTTCGCGGTAAGAAATACCTCGGGGTCGGAAAGATTAAGAGATGTTAAAAGATATTAACCAAGATCACGGTCTACCCACGATAACCAGGAAGGAAGCAGGCAAAAACAGTTTGATAAGTTTTGACAGATTAACCAATGTGTCAAAACCGATACGACTTTCAAACCTTCAAGAAAAGAGCGTACTCCTTCCTAAAAGGCCAGCAACGCGTTTGTGGCTCCTGAGTTGCAGACGTTCATGGTTGGCGATGGTCACTTTCTGTCTGGTGACCCGTCTGCTCGTCTGCCCCCTCTAACATAAAAAAAACTGGTCATTTGCTAGAAAAAAAATCATAAACTGTGAACTTCATGACCATAATGTGCTTTATAAACTGTACTTAATAGTATTCAAATCAATGCTTGTAAATGAGCAAATTCCAATAAAATAGAATCGAATGGCAGGTCTTTCAGTAAATTAGTTTTCATATCTTACATATCATCAAAATTATCTAAGCTACAAATAAAAGGACATCTTTAAATTTCTGATTTTTTTAAATCAACAAAAAATAAATTTAAAATAAAAAAAAATAACAACAGTTCCTTCACCGAGATTAACGATGATTTGCATGAACTCACTTATACCATATAAACAAGGTATAAACAAGAATCCATGGGTATAAACTATCACTTGTGGTTCTCCAATGCAAACCATGCCACATTTACTTTCTTGTCCACTGTGCTCCTCCAACTGCACTCTAGAGGAACTGTGGAGAGCAACGGACAATACCGTGTCTCTGGCGGAATTTTGGCGGACATTTAGGGGTGTTCGCCTGTTCATACGACGAAGATGGTATAAAGTAAGTATATTCTGAGATTATTCGCAGGATCCTTAATTTCCTTGGAATATGTTCAAAAGTCTGGTGAACGGAAGATCCGATGAGTCCCCGAATATCACAGAGCTTAGATTACGGTGGTTTTCGTACTTATAATAAAAACTTAAATTAATTATAATATGTAGCTGTGACGCTGTCATTATCACGATGAGGTTAATTTAATCAGGTAGAACGTAGATTGGTGGTTTGAAGCCTCTTTCAGGTGGATGAGGTGGCTCTCGAAATCAGACATCTGTAATTAACAAATGGAACGGATCGTTACGTAGTGTGCAACATACAACGCTATGCGCAATACAACTGCTTTTTTATTTATGACGAAAAAACATTTACATTGACAAATACCTTGTATATGTGTTTAATATTATGTTTTACATAAATATACTACTTTTTACCTTATTGGTAAAAAAGGGTTTCAATGGGAACAGAAGTACACTTTAATACGTACCTCTTTTCTCAGGAGCTGAATTTTGGTCCGAGGGCAGTGGTCCTGTACCCCAATGTAGGTCTCTAGGGTCTGCACCAGCGCCGACCATCATCATGCCCTCTCGCATTGGAAAGCCTCCCCTGAAACAACTAATGAATCTGAACTTTACGCACCAGTACACGAAGTTTTTTATTACAAGATTTTTTTCTCTTGCTTTCATCTTTTCTCATATGTTCGGCCCATTACAGATCTAAACTCTTTTAAAGATATGATCCTTGAATTATATCATGTAAAAGTTTATTGTACCAAATGTATGTTTCTTAGAAAATTACAAATATTTTTTAACTTTATCATAAGAATGGGTTTTCATTTGACGATGACGACAAACGATGACTCCAACTTATCATTTTCATGGATGATTCATTGTTTTTTTCTGCGGTTCATTAGGAACACAAAATCCTCCAGAAATTTACCCAATCTCTTAAAATAACTCGAGAATATTTAATTCTTTATCGTACTATTGAAAATAATAATAAGGGTTAAAGTATGATTTCATACTTTACCTTTAAAGGCAATTTTGCCGTTGTATAGTAATAGATACTTTGAATTGACATAAAACCTTCATGGCGTGAGATTTTCATGAATTATTTTTTTTACACGATACCTATGAGGTTCTTCTTTTAGAAAATGTGCAACATTCGATTTTGACTTTCAATTTTCCATGACAACCCAAGATCTCACACTGCACGAGAGACCGTTGTAACTCTACAGGAGCTGCAGTTAGAAACCATACGTCATCCTCCACATGCCATTCCTTGCTCCAATGGACTACCATTTTTTTGTGATTAGGACAATTTTCTATTTGATCAAAAAAATCCTAGGAGGCAGTACAAAATGCTTTGACACTGTTTGTTGAACCCAGATCCCCAGAGTTCTATCGTAAAGGCTTAAATGAACTTCCGTTTAGATGGCACTAATGTATAGATAGTGAGGATAAATATTTTGAATTAAATTTTTCAGTACAAATCGGCAATTTCATACTTTAGCCCCTAATATAACAATTCTGCAAGTGACACATGCAAAACGAGAATTAAAAAGTTGAAATCTATGCAGCTTCTGACATCAACGGAATTTTCTTCAGCCGTTGATAAAGCTCTCCAATATTTGTAAAGGTCAACCATTCCCGAAATGTACACGTGGATAACACCGTATATCCATTATAAATGTACCACTCGCAACAGTTTTTGAAGAAAGAAAGAAGATTCACTTTTAATTAGTTTGTAAGTTGGTTCTTTCGAATCGCATTTGCTTAAGAATAAATTTTTAAATATTTCCTTTGTTTAAATTTTTATAGATCTCTCTAAAATAACAAATAAAGGTTCAAATGGTTCATGTTATCTTTTGCTTCGCACATTAATTTGATTCTCATCTTAAACTTAAATCGACTTACTCTCGAGGGTGTCTGAAGCGAATCCTGCGAGATCTAGGGCTACTAACTTTCAGCTATAAGGAATATATTCAGTGTCGCGGGAGACTTTATAAACATTTGGACTAGTATGTTTTGTTACTATGAGTACTATTTATCACATGTGATGAGTCACAAGAGTCAAGAGTCGATGTAACTTGAACTATCTCTTTGCAACTAATAAGTATTATCTTATCGTATTTTATATTTCGATAAGCTATCGGTTTTAAAACAAAGATTTGCTTATATAGTATATGATACAAAATAGTCATTGACTTCTTACCAGGGACCACAATTCTCTCGGCGGTTCTTAAGAAACTGTCCGATGTTACTATTTGGGAGTGCCATCATTTTCTTCATGCATGTCTTCCTGTAGGAAATCTTGCCGATACCGTAACCCAGGATCGCTGCCAGCGTCATTTTGGGAATAGCACCGAATCTTTTATTGGGTGTCAGATATCCTGTCAAATACAGAGAAGAACAGTTAATAAGCCTGATAAGTAATCGGCATTTGTTGATAATTGTCATCAGTATGGTCAAATAACATTCATAGTTATCGTTAACCTTGTAAAGAGCTAGCGATCTTCCTCGACTACACACCGGCAGCATATATGCCTCTTTTAATTCTTGTTATAGTTATTAATTATTTTTTAGAGGAATATTTCTATTATATATTGTTTTTATATAACTACGGAATAATGTTGGATAAGTAATCTATGAAAGTTTACACCATTTAGCGCCTTTAAAAACTTTAAATACATAATATTTATAGGTTTTACAGTTATTAAAAATGATTTTGTTCCTTCTAAACCGTATAAGCGTGTGTACAACACGCTTAATACGTTGATTAAATACGTTTTATCTAGTAGTACTTAATATTATCTTTGTTGCTTTACAGCTTATATTTTTATCTTACCTTCTGTCCTTATACATATACTCGCTACATTATCTCCGTTTATCTTCTCTTTAAATTTGTCGACTATGATTTTGTTTTACTACATACGGAATAGGGGGTAAGAATATTTATGTCAACCCAAACACTTTGGGAATCGAGTAAGAGAAAATATGAAAATTGAAAGTGTATTTGGAAGGAAAAGGTCGATAAGAAGGGAAGGCAATAAAAGGAGGATTGTATTGTTTATGTCAGGGATGTATTGAGAAGTGGGTGGGGGGGAGGCGTAACTTGAAATCACTATGCGACTATCTGATGATATTCTAAATATAGTACATGTCGCAAGCCTAATTTCTAAGGGTAAATCTAGGATACTAGACATTATCTATTAAAATAGATAGCATTCAGTTCAGATTAAATTCTTTTATATATCATATCATATTATATCAAACGTTCGGCTCTTGAGTGTTATCAGTATATCTTTAAGTGTATACCTTATAACACAAATAAACATTTGGAAGTAAACGGACAATTGTACAAATTGTTTATATAAAGGAATACAGCAATTAAAATTAGTAGAGATAGACAGAAACACAAGTTTACTACAGATTTTGTAGGACCTGGCATAGGTCCTCCTTGGAATGGAGAAAAACCAAGACGGACTAACGATATGGCATTTTTTCCTTTTGGATTTGGATATATTGTGTTTCAATTAGCTGTGGCACTTCACTCCTTGCGAAAGAGCTTTCGTCCATATCCGAACTTGTCTAGTATCCACGTAACACACATACGAGTAAAACCTTTAATAAATATGGACACATTATAAGACCAGGGCATGCTAAGCCCGTGTCTATCACTTACAAATCACACTAACCTTTTGCAACAGCTGCGTATGTGATCGCTCCAAAGATGGCAGCTAATGGCAATGCTCTATATAGCAAGCTCTCACGTTTGCACTCCTTGAAAACACGTATCTCATCCTCTGTAAAGCGGTGATGCCACTGGAATATAAGAGCAGAAGAAGCTTGTAGGGATGATCTAAATTCGTAAGAAGAGACGAATATAAATTTAGGACAAAATAAAATCTTCTATGAGCGTTTCCGCACTTCGCGTTATGACTGCACGGATGGCGTAGTGGTTTAAGCGGTCGCCACGCCGCTCACTACTGTGTTGTGGGTCCGATCCCCACAAGGGACGTTATTTGTGTCCGTTTCATGTATGTTTGTAAAGTCCCCCGCGACACAGTATATATTCCTAATGCGGGAGTTGTCTTTTAAAAATAATCAAAATAATAATAATAATAATTTACAGATAAGATTTTACAAAAATATAGACTTTAAAGAGCGTAATTGGTATAAAATAAAGTTAGTACAGCAAGTAATAATAATAACACCAATAAGATAAGACGAAGATAAATAAAACTATAAGAGTAAAATAATATCTAGTGATTTAATCTTTGATACAAGAAAACTCTTGATATTAAAAAAAAGTTTTTTAATGCGTACTTGAAATATTTCTGCCAACAAGTTTCAACTATATTCCCAAGATATAAACTTTCAAATTCACTAACTACAGATAGCTATTTGATTTTATGTTTAGAGGGGACAGACGAGCAGACGGGTCACCTGATTGCAAGGGACCATCGCCGCCCATGAACGTCTGCAACTCAGGAGTCACAAACGCGTTGTCGGCTTTTTAGGAAGGAGTACGCTCTTTTCTTGAAGGTTTGAAGGTCGTATCGGTCCGGAAATACCGCAAACGACCACAGATGTTCGTATATTTCATGCAGAACATCATAAACAAAACATAAAAACTTTTTAAACTTGTTTCTTACTTTTAAGAATTGGCCAGAGTATGGATCTATGTTTATTATTAAAACCGAATTCTTTATTTGAAGTAGTTTTAGATCTAAACATTTTAAATCATAAAGAAACTTACCGGGCCTCTTTTGTGCCGCTGACCTTGACCGTCACCTTGACTAGGTGGGCTTCCTTCAACCATATTTGTGTCTCCCATTATACCACTTTCACTTCACTATAGCTCAAAGCGCACTTATATTTTAACTGATTCTTGTTCAAAAATACATAAATTTTAGTCTTCAATAGGTATTGTACGTGTGTGTTAGCGTCTTGAACTTGTCCAGCTAACAATGGTGTGTCATGTTTATATACGAGTTATATTCGCCACTTATCGGTCGGTTCTTAAATCATCTAAGATAATATTTCACAACGGTTTGTAAATATGGCGTTAGTATTGCGTCAGATACCATGCAATTTTTTTGGATAATTACGGAATACGAGTAGTACGGAGTACTGTTGGTACTACTGTTAAGTACCCATAACTGTATGGGTTTATAACACTACCAATATAATTCAAAAGCAAAAAAGTAAAATAGCAAAGTATTACTGAGACTAGTAGATAACCGATTCAATTTTCTGTTTCAATACGATATAACCACATTACTTTACTACTAAAATACCTTTTAAGACAGTTGTGAGATCGAAAGTTGACCAGAACTGAATTGAGACCGAACTTTTATTACGAGAATTGGCCTTCTGGCAGTGGCGGTTTAACCCTAAGGCAGAGTAGGCCTAGGGACGCGAGGTTACAAAGGGGCGCTAGCGCAGAGTTATTCTTGAAACAGAAATAAATATATGCCTCACATAAAAAGAACTGTGCAAGTAAATATGCACATACAATAATTTAACAATTCCTTAATTCTATAGAGATCTAATATTCATATTACTATATGTGATGTATAAAAATAAATTATAGTTTAAAAAAGAAAAATCTTTTTGTCCTTTTTACACGCTTTATATTAGCTTCACTTGTATGTTTGTTTGTAATCGACTCCTTTGGGCGTGATTTTGGCTGACTTTAAACGGTCAGAATTCGTTCAATCTTTGTAGATATATCGAGGACCGATGACAATTCCCTTATTTATCTTATTAAGCCCTTCCTAATTATTATCTTATTAAGACTAACAAATTGAGAAGTGCTTCAGTACACGCTATAGTACGTGGAAAAAGACACTACCGTATTTTTGGTTATGGTAAAAGTTAACCTTGAAGATCCTGATCAGCATAATGGGGAAAACGGTTTAACTTTTAGCATTATCATCGGTCCTTGATAATTGTTCTGTGTGTGGGTGTAATTTATCTATAATATGTATGTATTTAAAATTATATAAGTATGTTTATAAGCCGTCTGGTTACCACAGTACAGGCTCTGCCTAGTTTGGGATCAGACGGCCGTGTGTGAGATGTGTGAGATATGCATATATATAGATATATATATATTATTTAATTCGATGTGCAGAAGTGGGTCAAAATCTCGTTCGAAGATTCCGTTACATACAGACATACCAAGCCAATAAAAGCGGGTTAAAAACAATATCGTGGAAATTGACATCAAAATATGTGTGAATATACCTATATATACCCAAACTTAATTAACCAATGTTCTGGAGTCCCTGCAGCGTTACCAAGTAGATTGGCGATACATCCAAGTGATGAAATGTGTCTACGAAGCCGCTACCATGTCCGTCCAACTACAGAATCAGCAAACAAGGCCCTTATCATTGCATCGAGGAGTGAGACAAGGGGACGTTATTTCCCCGAAATTGTTCACAAATGCATTGAACATTGTCTTGAACATGTCCTCCACATGTTCAAGACGGTGCACTAGAAAGGGCGTGGCATCAACATCATTGGCGAATACATCTCTTACTTGCGATTTGCAGACGACATCGTCATCATGGCAGAGACGTTGCAGGACCTACGGCAGATGATGAATGACCTAGCTGACTCTTTTGTACGCATCGGATAAAACCAATGTCATGTTCAACGAACATGTACTACCGGAACCGATTGCGGTACACGGTGCCGTTCTCGAAGTTGTTCAAAATTACTACTGTAATGTCTGCCCGAGATACCTACACAATCTCGGGCAGACATTACAGTTAGGTAGAAACAACTTCGAGGACGAGGTGAACAGAAGAATTCAGTTGGGTTGGGTAGCGTTTGGGAAGTTACGTCGAGTCTTTTCATCGTCGATCCCATAGTGCCTTAAGACGAAAGTTTTCAATGAGTGCGTCCTTTTTTTTTTTTTTTTTTTTCGTTGACGGGGTGGAAAATCCCTTCGGATCTCCGGCTCCTCGGGGACTCAGGAGCCAGGAGTATGTGGTGATTCCACTAAAAACCACCCCGACGGCCGGCCTTAGGTGTCCTACTCTGGGGAGGACCCGGACCATGTTATTTCAGGTCCTCCTTGAATTGACACCATGCCTAATCAGGCCCTATCCCAGGGTAGAACACTTCCCCCTTCAATCACGGCATGGCGGCCCGATCGCATCTTAATGCAATCAGGCCGGCCATTCCATTCCCTACCGCAGCAATCAATCTGCCACCAGAGGTCCCCACTCTCTGGCGGCCCGCGGCCCCGTCGATGGCTGATATCGCCGCCGACGTCTTTTACGTTCGGGATCGGCCCTCTCCCGTTCCCGTTCAGCGGTCTCTTTCTGGAGCATTACAGCTTCACAGAAAGAGACCACTGCGCCCCAGCCCTCCTCACCCGCCTGCATGGCAGCAATGATTGCTGGCGGGGACAGGTCTCGTCCGATTTGGTCGACCAGGACCTCGCGTTCAGACGCCCACGAGGGGCAGTCTTCCAGCGTATGCTGGGCGGAGTCCCAGTCGGCTGCGCAGTGCTGGCATTGTGCCGTCTCCTCGTGTCCAATCCGATTCAGGTACTCCCCGAAGCAACCATGCCCAGTGAGTACCTGCGTCAGTCGGTAGGTGACGCAACCTCCCTCCCTACCTACCCAAGCTTCAAGGTTAGGCAGAACGGCACCGACAGCGCGTTGGCGCGCATTCCGCGGCTGCTCCAGTCGTGCGCGCCACTGCACCCAATGAGTGCGTCCTACCCGTCATGACATACGGAGCCGAAACGTGGACACTTACGGTACGGCTGGTCCACAAGTTCAAAGTCGCTCAACGTGCTATGGAAAGTGCTATGCTCGGCGGTTCTCTAAGGGATCGCATCAGGAATGAGGTGATCCGGCAGAGAACCCAGGGTACCGACATTGCCTACCGGATCAGCAAGCTGAAGTGGCAGTGGGCTGGCCATATTAGCCGCAGAACCAACAACCGTTGGGGAAAACGAGTTCTTGAATGGAGACCGCGTCTTGGCAAACGTAGTGTAGGACGCCCACAGGCCAGGTGGAGTGACGATTTGCGCAAGACGGCTGGCAGGAGCTGGCCCAAAATCGATCTAAGTGGCGTGCTATGTGAGAGGCCTGTGTCCAACGGTGGACTGCGATAGGCTGATCATGATGATTCCAAAAATATACTATTCTATAACATCCTGTATTCCTGATGCTTTATTAAAACTTTTAGAGCTTTTGGACCCTCAAAGAGAATGCATGTACAGCAATGAAAGCTTCTTGCATTATCCGCTATTATAAAACCAACTCATAACGAATTTAGTCGGCGCTTTTATGAAGCTTTCATTTATCGTCATAGCTCACTGGTACACAGGCGAGCTTTTATCTTTCAATTTAATTGAATATTCTAGCTCAGTGATGTGGCTACATCGTAAGTCTAAGAATAAAGTGATTGGCTTTTTAATTACAGTGGCTAGCTATTAAAATGTGGTTCGTTCTTCAGGGTTCTGTAGTCCTGATAAGAAGTTTTTAGATTGTCGCCGGGCTCGTTGCCTGTCTGTTGCTTAGCCTAAAGCATGTATGTATAACAAAGTTGTACTCTTGCATAGGTATACACATACATGGGTACCAGGGATTTCTTTTCTGGGGTACACCTGATTCCCTGGCTGCTGGTACCCGAGATGGCGTGAGGTTTTTAGTCGGTTTGAGTCCGACATAGCTACCCCACCGGTGGGTGGTATCCGAGGGGATTTCCGCACAGAAAAAAAAGGTATACACATACGAAATTATTTTTATGAAGTCTGCAATTTGTTTGAATCGATTTTGACGATTTTTTTTTGTCTTAATTACAAGAATGTGTGAGTATTAGTATATGAAAATTATAAAAAGATTTTAAATAGTTTTTTTTAAAATAGATATATATTTTCAGGCAATCAAGTTTTTTGTCTTTTTTTTTAAAATAACTTGTTTGTAGGTGAAAGTAATCCACGTCATTTTCTAACTAATGAGTGCAAAATTTCATGTCATAATCGGTTCGATCGTTTAGGTTTAAAATTGTAAAAAAATAAATTATTTATTAAACAAACTATTCTCATTTAAAACAATTATTACGGTGTTTACGTACTTATGAAAGTGCAGAAATGTTTTGTAAGTTATAGTGTTAGTGCTAAAGCTTTGTGAAGCATCATCTAACACCTCTGTTCCTGTAGTTTGACACGAACAAAGGATTAACTGTGGATCGTACTGTGTATTTAGATTCATTTTGTTTGAAATATACTTCATTGTGGGGGTAAAAGCAGAAATAAAAAATGATGTGACTGTAAAACCCGTTTACTAATTACAAAATTGCTGTTTTTCTTAAAATGATCTTACAGAAATTCTTCAAATTTTGAGTTAAAACAAGTCTTAATTATAAAATTAAAGAAGCAGAGAAATTAAAAGTTTAAATTAAAAATAACTGAATCCAAATCAGTGCATCCGTTAAGAAGCTGTCACGCAACTGACAGATACACATTCTTGTGTGTTGGATTAGAAACTAAGTATCTGCAATAATAAACATTTATTGAATGATGAACAAGGGCTGTTTCATTCATTAAAATAGGGAAATTCCTAAACTGTTTATAAATTCCTTTATGTCCAGTCGCAGTTAATAGCCGCCCTCTTGAGTGAATCAATGGTAACAATAACTTAACACACGGCACGTCACAAAAGATATTAAACTAGGCAAAGCCTGTATGTCTGCAAACAGATTACAGATACACATACTTTAAACTTCTGAATATATACAGTTTATAGATGAATTACACATTATAAAAGAAAAAACAATTAAAAAAAAGAAATAGAAACAAGTACT